CTTGCTTATTTACTTATAAGCGATTGATCGAGTGGAAAATGGATTCTGCATCGTCACGAAGTAATTTGAAGTCCTTTCAGACGCTAATAACTCCGATCTTTGGTACGGTGACGGACCGACACTACTGCTCCATTCTATAGGGGGATAGGGGGATATCCCGGTTTGAGCCTTTGTTGCAGCTCAACCATATCGTACCTCATACCCCGCTACGGGCTCAAATAATGAAACATAATCTATTCTTCTTGGCACGTCGCCAATGGGTTGACGCGAGGGACAGTTATGTGCCAGTGGGCCAGATGGGTGCCGCGATGGGTCAGACAGGTGCCGCAGTGGGCCAGATAGGCGCCGCAATGGGCAAGACTGGTGCCGCGATGGGCCATATAGGTGCCGCGATGGGCCGGCACGTCGCCGCATGGTGTTAGAGTCGTCTTACATGGAACTCAGAACCACCCTCTCGGAGGGTATGTGCCCGCTCGGATGCCGACATCGGCATCGTCGGCAGTCGCGCATCGCTGGACAGTTACGATTATTCAGCCGCGACCAAGACACATCGACAAGAAAAAGAAGGCACATCATTGCTCATGCTCATTAGGTGTCCACTTGAAAAACATCTTCTCCCATTCCTCCTTCTAGGCTTGAATCATTATCATCGTACCAGCCGTCGGCGTGGCCTTCGGCAATCGTGTGCGTTGCTGGTTTTTGCGTTGCTTTCGACACTGTTTTTTTCTCGGATCATACGCCGGAGGGGGGACATGTTTGTTAGAGTATTCTCCCGATTAAGCGCGGAGTGTCCGAAACAATCACGGGATCCATGTTCCATAAAGTCTCGCAGACGGAATGCGATATTCCCGAAAATTGCGGCTCCTTGCCGTGTTCAGCGGCCGGTTCCAGTGTGAAGCGAATCGAGTTCGCTGTCAGAGCGGTCTCGCTGTACGCACCCAGGGGGCGAGTAAGTAAAACTTCTAAGCTGGCGACTCTGGAGGCCTGCGGGCTCCGGCGATATTGTACAGATATGAAGTAATGGAATAATGATCTATTAAAGTCAGCGCAAATGGTATGATATGGTAAGTTTATATAACTGTATGAGAGATAAATAAATGCCGCGGCTTCGAAAGGGATCGATGACGGAACCCGTCGCACGGTGCACGTGCGCGACGATGTCACTTGAGTGTGTGCAATCGAGGTCTCGAGTCGCATGCTTGAGCCCAGTCCAAGATTTGCGAATCAAGGACAATAATCCTGTGAAGACGTCGTTGATCATCCCGGACGAAGGCTCCGGCCGTGAACTACTTCATCCAGTGAATTGGTTTCACCTCGTCCGGACTTTGACAACGATGGATTGTCAACATTCGTGTCAGAAGTTGACCAGGAACCCAAGCCTAACGTGATATCGCCAGCTTGCGAGATTGAGAAAAATCGCAAACGCTACTGTCAGCGAAATCTGTGTGCAATAGGGACGACATCCCGACAGTGCAACCGCAGTCGGCGAGAGCCGAAGGCGACCAGGATCCCGTCGTACTCAAGGGTGAGCTGCGTGCAACGAGATCAGTCCCGAAGACTACAAGAACAGCATTCACAGAAGCGTACAAGAAGGCTTGCGAGCTCCTCAGAGCTGAAGGTCTTCGGCAGAGTCCAAACCGATTTATCGTTCCAAGTCGAAAAAGATACACTGAGATCTACGATGGAGCAGAGCAATAATTCCGGCAGGAAACTCTTCAACGGTTACCAACGTTCGATGGCAATGCAACGAAATTCTGCCGGTGGAAAGATGCGTTCATTCTACACGTCGACTCCAAGGACTGTGATCCACTAGAAAAATTCGAGTTCATGGAAAAGACACTGCAGGGGAGAGCTTTGCGAAGCATCTCAGGCTTCGCAGTCCGAGCCGAAAACTACGTTTCGGCAAGGGACTTTGAAATTCCGGGTTCCCGTGTCGTGTTTTCTGATAACTTTAATTACTCTGCTCTAGGGAGCATTGACACTAAGTGGAGTGGAGGGTCTACCCTTACCACGGTGTGGTGGACAACTTTGGGTATTAGAATAAAGATACTGGGTTTAAGGGCATCCACCGTCTAGTTTATTCTGAACACGTTATCAGCACGAATAGCTCTGTGAACCAACTGCTGGAAATTGCTGCTCCGAGGCTCAACTCCAAGACATCCGTAAGTTGCAGGTAGTGATCGATTAGATAGAGTAACCCTCTAATAAGCATTCCGACGGGGAGTGAAATGTCTCAGCCGACAGAGGCAGATACGTCTGTGGGGAACGAGTAAGGCGCATTTTCACTCAATACACAGTCAGTGCACGTACGTGCATGTACAACCACATTGAGGAGAGTCGATGCTGATCCGACCAGCGATAGCGTTTGAGACTCGAGAATAAACTAAACTTTATCATCTAGTACGTCCAGTTCCCACTTTACGTCCCTACATCAAGCAGCGGTGGTTCGAGACTGGACAAGTGAAGAGTGTGGTAAAGAATGATCGAGTGCAGACTCTCAGCAAATATGTTGAAGGGTGACAGCCACGAGGATGAACTCTCGAAGACGGACATGGCAAGAATGATGAAAATGATGATGGAGGAATGGATGAAAGAAACCAAAATCGAAGCCGGAGCGGATGAAGCTTCTGGGGACGTCAGGTCGGTGGAGCGAGTCTGTTATTCTTCGAAGACCATGGATCGGTTCGCCGGTGAGAGCGAGATGGAAGCGTAACTGTGGCTGAACCGGCTCAAGGTGGCTATCGATGGAGGAAAATGGTCGGAACGAATGATTAAGAGTGTTCTATTAGAGAAAATGATAGGGGCTGCGAGACTCTGGCATTTCAAATATTTGAATTCGTGGTCGACGTTTGACGCGTGAAGAATCGCGTTCAGGGAGAAGTTTATTCCCAAGGAAACTAAGCTTCTCTTGGTTGACAGATTCCGGGAATGTTATCAGAAGCGAGGTGAGTCTATGGATACGTTCGCGGGGAGAGTCGAGAGGTTGGGACGGAGAATCCGATTCAGTGCGGAGGACGTGAAAAATCAAATCGTCGAAGGCTCAGCGGCAGAGTACGACATGGTATCGATGATGATGATGACTAGAGATCGCAAGTTCAGGCAGAATGCCATAAGTGCCTTAAAATGCCTATTTCCGCGGTTTCGTCAGCATCCTGCCTATTTCCGGGAAAGTTCGAAAATTTTACCTTTTTTCGCATCTTCGCTCCACAGGTTTTCAGGATTTTCCATCCAAACATTTCTCGGAGGACTGAAACTTCGTCTCCGTTCATCTAGTCGCGAGATCCCCATAGATGCTTCACGGCTCTGAAATTCCTTTGCTGCTTCCGATGCGATGAGGCGACGAGAAGTTCGATTGATTTCGTCGATTACAAGTCATGATTTCTCCGCATGAAATTGCCATTCAAGAGCACCAGAATCATTCTGCTTCCTTCTTCCAAGTCGAGTTGTCACCTCACCCGATTTTTGAAGCAGTTCCGTGGGCTTCGACTAGGGCTGATCGCCGCGTCGATGGCCCCGAGCACTCCTCTGTTCTTCCCGACTTCCCGATTAGCTCGTCATCTGTCGGATTTATTCCACCCCACGATTCGTCAGGCGTCTTCTGGCCGAGCCTCGTAGTAGTATGCCTGGCTCCCGAAAAAGCTCTCAGAATTCTGCGTTGATGCGCCTCACACCCGAATGACGTGCACGCCGGATGTCTCTTTGCACGTTCCACGTAGGGATTCGTCACTCGCATTCGATCGTTTCGAAAGTTGTTGGGAACGAGATTCTCGAACCGCTCGTGGTCTTGCGATCTAATGGTTCTAGGTTACTAAACAAGAGCGTTTTAAGCTAAGAATGCCTGGACTGTGGACTGTGTTTACACTTGTGCTTCGCACGCATCTTGATTGACGGATTTCCCGCGGTGACTTGGAGGTTTGTGTTGTGTCAAGGTCGATCAACTCCGTCGCCGAGAATGAGGGAAATCGTTTTCGCTGATCCGGCCGATTCCATTGGAGTTCAGAATGCCGAAACAAGGTTCGAGTTCACGCGGGAAAACGAGGCGCTTCATTCGAGATTGCGGACCGGCATACTTCGCGACTGATGGAGACGTCCTGACGTGCAAAGACTGTGCGAAAGTTGTGAATGCCGAGAAAAAGTACATATTTTGTCGAGCAGCACGTCAAAAGTGCCCGACATCAAAACCGCCTGCAAACCCCAGGAAGGGGCAATCAGAATGTTTGTTTGTTGTCGAATTTTCTTAATCTTTCAAACAAGCAGAGTCCCTTCAACAAGGACCTCTGTCAAATGCTGGTGGAAACGAATATACCCTTATTCAAAGTCCATAATCAATCGTTCCGGAATTTTCTTGAGAAGTATACCAAATATCAAGTTCCAGAACATACAACACTTCGGAAGACTTACCTCCGGAAGCTGTACGACGCCACAATCCTGAAGATTCGTACTGCGATGGGAGAGAATCTGTTGTTCCTAGATTGGTCGAAGGCTAGGTTCGGTAGATCAGCGGGACACGTACGAGCTCAGAGAGGACAACCGGAGGTTGAGATGGGAGCACACCACAGTGATTTTATTGGAGAAAGTGTCGTCTTATATATCAGTAGGTTGACCCTTTCCGAGAGGCACAGTTCGCAAGGCATCGAGTAAGATTTCCAGATGGTTACTAAATACGGAATCAGAAGAGAGGCCTGATGAGTGGAGCCTCTGACATGTGTCAGAGCTGGAGCCTCTGGCACGTGGCACAGTACGGAGTCGGGGTTAACCGAAATAGATATGACAGAAAGCTCAGCTTAGAAGAATGAGAGTAGCTATTCTCAAGTTAGTCTCAACATCCCCTCTAATAGGTAACA